AATCAATTTTATCATAATATAATCCTAATAATTTAAAATTTAATAAATTTAAATTAACTTATTTAAATAAAATATTTTAAAAATAATAAAAATTAAAATCAAAATAATTCAAATATAAAAAATTTTAAATTCTTTACATTTATAAAATTTATCATTTAAACACACCATAAGAGTCAAACTCCAAAGGCAGAGTCTAGTGCCTATATATATCCAGTTGTAGCCACGAAGACTTGCATAACAACTTCAGCTTTCACAAAGAAAAAGAAAATGGGTTCTTCTTTGTGGACTGTGTCTCTAATTTTGGCTTCACTAGCCTCTGCTGCACTCTGCGCCGCACCACGAAGGCCAGTGGATGTTCCATTCGGTCGAAACTATGTTCCCACATGGGCTTTTGATCACATCAAATACTTAAATGGGGGTTCTGAGATTCAACTTCATCTAGACAAGTACACTGGTACGTAATATATAGAATACAACAAAGTTCAGGATACCTATTTAGTTCTAAACTTGGTACACTAATTTTTCACGTTTCTTATATACAACTTTCAACAGGTACTGGCTTCCAGTCCAAAGGATCATACTTGTTTGGTCACTTCAGCATGTACATAAAGATGGTTGCTGGCGATTCAGCTGGCACAGTCACTGCTTTTTATGTATGCACAATTATTTTTATTCATTGTCATCATAAAACAAGTTTATATCTATACAATTAATTAATTAAATTAAACATTCACTTAAATCAAATCATCTATATCTTTTAGTTTTCAACCTTTTTGTTTACTTGGTATGATTGGAATGATGCAGTTATCTTCTCAAAACGCGGAGCACGATGAGATAGATTTTGAGTTCTTGGGGAACAGAACAGGACAACCTTACATTTTGCAAACAAATGTGTTCACCGGAGGCAAGGGTGATAGAGAGCAAAGAATCTATCTCTGGTTTGATCCCACAAAAGCCTATCACAGATACTCTGTCCTATGGAACATGTATCAAATTGTGTAAGTACTCCACTCCACCAAAACCCCATTCCAAAAGCACAAGTTGTGAATGAGTGTACTATACTATATATGCTAAATTGGTAACCGCTAAATAACATGAATCCTCTATTTTGGGACTAAATCCTCTCAGTTTTATTTTTAGTCATCAATCAGAAAATCTTTCTGTATACTTTATAAGTTATTATTTCTTGTTTTATTTTATCGATATGAAACTTGTTTATATCATAACATCAAATGTGGGTACACATGCAGGTTCTTAGTGGACAACATCCCCATAAGGGTGTTCAAGAACAGCAAGGACTTGGGAGTGAAGTTCCCATTTGACCAACCCATGAAGGTGTACAACAGTTTGTGGAATGCTGATGATTGGGCCACAAGGGGTGGTTTGGAGAAAACAGATTGGTCCAAAGCTCCTTTCGTTGCAGCCTACAAGGGGTTCCACATAGACGGGTGCGAAGCCTCTGTGAATTCCAGGTTCTGCGCCACACAGGGCAAAAGATGGTGGGATCAAAGAGAGTTTCGTGACCTCGATGCATTTCAATGGCGAAGACTCAGGTGGGTGCGCAAAAAATACACCATCTACAACTACTGCAATGACAGGAGCCGCTACCCCCAACTTCCCGCTGAATGCAGAAGAAACCGTGACATTTAAATTTCCTATCATTGCTACCATATGTTAATTTCTTCTTCTGTTCATCCCTTATCATACTTTATATATACGACCACCACCCATTATTTATTATTACCAATGTATTGTATTGTATTGTATTGTTTGAGCTGTGTAATTAAGGAGCGAGGTTTGAGTACAGAGGAAACTCTATAATAAAACTATATGTTTGTTATGTTATATGTTATGTTGTTATATGTTATGTGATTCTGTTTTACTCATTCCTATCCTTGGCACCTATCGAATATCGAATTCTTAAAATTATACTTCATGCATGTTCTATTCCTTAATGGTATGGATAACAGCTTGTTGCTGCATCCATTTCCGATCTCGAGGACTTTCTTGGTTATTTTAATTTGCTACTTTTAGTATAAAGTGAATATCCATTTTGATTAATAAAATGTTGGGTTTACCTGAGAAAGGTGGAAGACAGCAATACACTCGATTCAATTACAGAAAGTGATGTTTAAGATTAGTTATTCAACAAAACATCAGTTTGGTATATCAAATATTACCAATTTCCTTGAATTTTTTTATGCTTCCAAATTCCTTGAATTTAAATAATGAAATTATATAAGTAGTTGTTAAAATATTAAATATCCATCAAGTATTACCCACTCCTTCGAGTTCAAATAATGAAATTATATATAAATTTTTCAAGACAATTAATTAAAACACTTTCGATTTATATGAAAGTAATTTAATCCGATTGTCTCTACAATTAGAAAAATAACATATGAATAAATGTTTACATGATAAATATTTATTCAATAAGTGATTATTTATGTTATTTTACCGAAACAACCTAACTTGGTAAAATAAATAAGCATATAGTTAAAAAATTTGTAAATATTTACTTAATAGGTACAAGTACAATATATATATTTATCCGAGGAGGTGATAAGTGAATCTTTATTACTCATGTTCATATCGTCTCATTGATATCCCTTCATCATAGTATGAAAAGTTATTATTTTTTTTTAGGTGATAACATTAATAATATCTCAAATTTCATTTGTATTCGTTAAAAAAATATTTGTATTAATTAGTATCAAATGGACTAAATTTATTTCCGAAAATTCCTTAGGTTAATAGGGTTTGAATTTTGTGAATCCTCACCTACAAATTGTAATTGAATTCTTTATCAATGACATGTATTTTTGGTTTTGCAAATTAGAGAGTATAATTCTCTTTAGTTCATAAGCAATCTTCTTGAATTTAACACATTTTTATAGCATTCATCAAAATTTAAATTTATTAATTGAAACATTCATAGCTAATTGTAAAATCCTCACATGTCAAGGTTTGTACTTCTTGCTAGGCATCTCAATAAGTTCCACACAATTATGATTATAGATCAATTCAAAAACATCAATTTGATTAGGATTTCAATAGGAATTTTTTTAATAAGATTTGTATCAAAATGAAATTATTATTATTTTAAAATGATATTTAGCCATTAGAAGTTATATTCAATGAATGTAAATTAATTTTTATTATCAATTTTAAAATATTGCGTGATTAAAAAAATTATTATTATGTTTGGTAAGAAAGAAAGAAATGGAGTGAAAAAAAGTAAGGCTGAGAAAAATAAGGTAAAAATATAGGTGTTTAATTTAAGAGAAATAAAGAAAAAATAGAAGATAGTGAAATAAAAAATAAAAAAAATTAGCCTATTAAGTTAAAATTACAATTTAATTGATTAAATCAATTCCTAAGACATATATTAAATGGTGGAAATCAATTAAAAAATGTGACAATCAATTAAATATGTATGTGACACTTCTTGCTTGTTTTCATCTAGTTTTTGCATAACAATAAAACAAATGTGGATCTAACACTTATTTTTTTATTATTATTTCTTTACAATTAGGCAGTATTTATATTTTATTTTGAATTTATTTCTACTTTATCATATTTATTTTCTATCCATTTTTTATATACCAAATGGACCAATCCCCTTTTTTCTTACCTCTTTGTTTTGTTCATGGAGAGATTAATGATGATGATTCATAAGTGTTCTTACCGGGAATCCGAGGTAGGGATGATCCGTAGGGTAAGATCAGTGAGCCTCCTTCGCTGGTACGCTTGCTGCTCCAAGATGGGGGTAGTACCTGCAAAAGAGACTTCGATGCTAAAGTTAGGATTTGTATGAGTGTATGTCTCGTATAAGTAATGCATGTACCTTAGTGTGAATTAGGGTTGTATTGGGCCTTGGGCCTGAGATCAGTTGTGATCTAATTAGATAGCGGATCTCGTCTGGACCGAGATCTCCTCAGATCAGTTATGATCTGGTTAAGTGACGAGCTCACATCACATAGCGCGTATCCAAGGTCGTCATGCGCTGCGATGCCGAGCTGGGAGCTCGGCCTTGCGGTACGGATAGTACAATAAGGATGTTCAAGAAGGTGGTTGAAAACCAATCCAATTGTTAAGGTATGAGCCTAAACTTTTGCATATTTTCTTTGTTGATGATGTTCTACTTTTTACTAAAGTAGAATATTCTAAAGCAAGAATTATTGTTAGTGTGACACCCTTACTACCCCAACACATACATCATAATAAATCATACCACGGGTGATCAAACTGATAAACGCATTAAGTAAAGAATCAAGCACAAACAATGAGATCAAAATGCATATATTTAAGAAGAAGAAGAGTTAGTAGTTACATCCAACCAATCCTTAATGAGTTTAGTCACACATGGTCATTACAAGATATAAGAAGTAAAAGAAGAGATTACAAAGTGGGAGATGAAAACAAGGGGTTGGGCTTCGTTCCCAAATGACCCAGCTGCCCAAGTCTTCGTTCTTACTCTGTTTCTCTCTTCTCTCAAGTCTCAATCTTGTTTTTCTCTCTTGTTCGTGATGATCTTTCTTTTTAGATTTTCCCCTTTTATATGAGCTTTAAAACAGGGGCAAAAAGTAATTTTTCCTCCCACAGCTGCAGCTGTAAATCCACAGCTATGGCTGTGGAGAGTCCTTTAGAGTGAAGAAACCTCCAATGCTGCAACTATGGTTTCACAACTATAGCTGTGGCAACTCCTTCAAGCTTAAGGAACCTCCAACGCTGCAGCGGTGAAGCCACAGCTATGGTTGTGGATCTCTGGAATTTTTGCTGGGTCCTGGGTGCTCCATGGCTTTAGCTATGAGTCCACAGCTTTAGCTTCAACTTTCTGGAACTTCAAATTGCATTTCAGATTTTCACAGCTATAGCTGCAGATCCACAACTATAACTGCAACTTTATGGATTTTTAATTCCTTCCCAGATTTCCACAGCTCGAGCTCCAGATCCACAGCTATGGCTGTGGATCTCTGCCTTCCTAAATTTTCTACAAAAATTGAGGAAATTCCTTAGGGGGTAAAATAACATATATAAATATCTACAATTACCAAAAAGAGTACCAAAAGTTGAGTGCAAATCATGCATAAAAGACACTCAACAATAGTCTACACACAGCCTAAAGCTTCCATCTTTCTTTTTAACTAACAAAACAGGAGTCACCCAAGGTGATACACTAGGGCGTATGAATTATTTTTCAAGAAACTCTTCTAATTTTTTCTTTAACTCAGCTAATTCAGAAGGTGACATCCTATAAGGTGCCATTGAAATTGGTCCAATTCCAGGTATTAAATCAATCGAAAATTCAATCTCTCTGTCAGGTGGCAAACCAGGAATATCATTAGGAAAAACTTCAGGAAAATTTTGAACAATAGCTATGTTTTTCAAGTCGGCTTCCTCTTTAGCTTCCATAGAAGATAAGATTAAATATCCTTGAACTTTACCCCATGAAAATTTTCTTATTGGTTTGGATAATGAAATTGATAGGTCCTTAGAATCAGAAAATATTATAGACTTTTCTGCACAATTGAGAAGAACATGGTTGGAAGATAACCAGTCCATACCTAAAATCACATCTAATTGTGATAAAGGTAAGCAAATCAAATTTACAAGAAATTTTCTATCACCAATAAAAATAGGACAGTCTAAACAAACTTTATTGGCAATTACAAATTTGTTTGTAGGGGTTGAAACAATTAGATTATTCTCTAAAGAAGAAATTGGTAATTGGAGGTGTTGAACACAATCATTGGAGATAAAAGAATGAGTTGCGCCTGAATCATACAGTACATTTAAAGTTTTGCCTTTAATGAAGTAAAAGAAGAGATTACAAAGTGGGAGATGAAAACAAGGGGTTGGGCTTCGTTCCCAAATGACCCAGCTGCCCAAGTCTTCGTTCTTACTCTGTTTCTCTCTTCTCTCAAGTCTCAATCTTGTTTTTCTCTCTTGTGTGTATTAGAAGAGTTTTTTATAAGGAGTTTTTATTTTTTCAACCCCTCATATCCAAACCTGACCACTTATGTCTCTAGATTCATTTAATCTAGTCATTCATTCTTCTCTATTTAACATTCCATTTTCGATTTCCATTCCACTTATGTCCAATTTGTTCTCTCTCATCTCCATTGTTGCTCAATCCTTTGTCTTCTGTCCTTTTTACTCTGTAATGATAATTATATTCCTTTCTTCTACCAAATGTTGAAAATAGATGGTGTTATTTGTTAGCCTTTTTTGCAATTGTCAACAATAACCAAATGATGGCTTGTGGTTGTCAAGAACAAGATCTATGTAATGTCATTCTTTTTTATTTTTTGCATCTTTTATTTTGGTTTTCATTGTGAGTATGTTAGTACTAGAAAATGAATTCAGAGATACTCGAAATACAGGGGTGCTCGAAATCTTAGGTGATCGAAAAATGCCAAAGGAGTTTCTGAAGAAGACATACGAAGCCTGAAGAGAATCAAGAGATACGCGAAGACATGTTTCGTGAAACTCTCGAAATCCTCGAACCGGGAAGGATGCTGCTCAGGAGAAAGGCTCACAGCCTCGCAACTTCTCAAAGTACAAGGAAAATCAGGAAATACTCAAGTATATTTTTCGTTGGTTACTCGAAATTCCAAGGATCCGGACATACACGAATACACTTCGTAACCTCTCAGAATGAAGAGCTTAAAGGAGACACGATTTAAGAGCGGTGAAGTAAATCATGGGATAAGTGTCAAAGGCTGCAGAACGGTTTGGGGAAGTTAATGAGCAGTTCCAAGAGTTATCCAAAGACGTACCCGGGAATAAGCCACGATGTGGAAGTTTAGAACGGTTATGCACTTCCGGGGCACGTTAGAAACAGTTATCTTTCCCAGATCTTTGTCTATAAATTAAACGAGCCATGCTCATAGAAAAGGGTCAGAAATCTAATTCCCACAATACCTCACACGCACTCCGCAACCTACGCATAAGGCATACTGTGCATACGAGACAGCTTTGGGTACGATTTCTCGACCACCGTTCTTTTTCCTTTTTTAGGAGTAGCGTAGCATAACGTAGCATAGCATAATCTAGCCTAGTGTAGTGTAGTCATTCTGAACATGTTTCTTATCCTTACGAATTGTAATTCTGTTACCATTTAATGAAAGATATGATTTCTGCAGTCAATATACATGTCATCTGTTCAATTCACGTTAATTCTTACATGCATTAATTTAATTGTATAATTAGCATAGATCTTCTGATGTGCTGAAATAAGCATAGATCTTCTGAAGTGCTAAAACTAGCATAGATCTTCTAACGTGCTCGAACAAAGAGCATAGATCTTCTGAGGTGCTGAAACAACACCCTAATTTAACTCTATTTGTTGCTTGTACGATTTTATTTTTTCACTGAAAGTCTTTGATTCTGTCATGTCACGAACACGCATAAATTGAAACGTGAAATCGTGCTAGTTCAAATAAAAAGAATCTACTAATGAAATCCTCCACAAACAGAGTAGTACAAACAGGTTTGGATGTTGTGAAAGTTTTTACCTTTAACATGGAAGAAGATTTGTAATTCATTTCTTTACTTTTTGTGTTTCAATTGAGGGTGTTTTTAGAGGGAAACCCGTACCTTTCTTCTCTCTAAACTTAAATTTTATTTTCCATAAGTTTTCATCAATCTCTTTTTTCTGACCACTTCTTTCTGTTTCCATGTTTTAGGGTTGAAAATTTAAAATGTACAAAACCAAAAAAAGAACACTACATTGAGGCTAAAAACACCTCTTGAAACCATTTAATTCTTACGTAACCTGCTACTTGATCAAACCAATGTCTAAGTTGGTCGAAAATAAATTCGGTAGTAAAAGTGCTAAATCCTCCGAAACTGAATTCCAAAACATCTTTCGAATGGTTAAATTTTTTAAAAAGTTAAATATGTAAGTTGACCAACATAAATCTTTTAAGTGTTAAATTTTTTTTTAGATAATTATTTCGAAGGAAGTATTGATAATGATCAAATTGACTCAAAACTCAAAGTGTTGAACTCAAACACAATCGAACCCACCAATTAATAAGCTTAATCTAAACAACTAAAATGTTCAATTTAACTTTTTTAAATGCTTCTACTTTATCATCATTACATATTATGACATATTATATAATGATGGTAAATATATATTCAAGTGATCAAAGTTAATTTCAAATCCTATTATAAACTATTATCTCTTTTATATTTTAGTTTAGCTATGATTGATGTCTAGATTTATTTCCCACTCAATAAAAGGAAGAAATTCAATAAATCGAGCCTCTAAATTTTAGGAATAAAGTTAAATAATCTGTAAAAAGATGTTTGTACCCACATAATAGATCATTTGAATAATCGGAAATATATCTCAAAACAAGAAAGTTGAAACACAAATTGTTAGCATCTTATTGTATAAATTGAATGGATATATAATAAATTTAGATAAGAAGAAAAACCATGTGATCAAAATAAAAGGATCTGAAAAGTGTCTACGCTAAACTACGGGTAATTACAAAATATCTTAAGTATAGTTAAATACTATTAGTTATTATTGCCAACCGAAAAGATTTTTTTATTAAAGATTAGTCAATAATAACTAATAAGTAAGGCTTAAAGTAAATTTTGAGAGATTATTTTTTTAATCGAGAAAAATATGTTATATTTTTTTTGTTGATATAAAGGTCTTATATTAATATATATCTATATATATATATAAATGATTTCTTTACTTTTAATATTAATAATTAGTAGTAAATAATTTTTTGTTATTGATTCTAAAACTTAAGTTTTAGTAGTCTTACTTTTTAAGTCAATTCTCTTGTTTCAGTTTAATTAGATGTTTAGAAATTAATTAAGTATAAACGTACAATTGTAGTCGATACTTAAAAATAACTTTGTGATCGTATTCGATTTAAAAGATACAAGTGATTTATTATAAAACCAAATTAAAACTAGAACAAAGGAAATCATATTTTTTTTGTTAAAACAACGAAAACTCAAATAACGAAAGTAATAAAGAAGTTACATGTACTCAATTTTGAGTAGAAAAATGTAATTGTAAATCTAAAGCAATAACGAGTAAAAAACTTTTAAACATTAATAATTGACTCAATGATATTCAATGAGTATATAGACATTAATAATTAACTTACTCTGAATAATTGATTCTTTCGCATAAACAATCAAGTTAAATATACCAGACTCATCATTTATTTTTCTTACAAAATCTTATCTAAAAAAAATTCATTAAAAATATTATTTTTTACCAGTACCCTTAGAATCAAAATAAAAATGTAAAAAAATTAAGATGACTAAAGCTACCTCTTTGATTTGGAATGAGCCGCTACAAGAAGAAATGGTTAATTTAAAAATAGAGTAAATAATTATCACGAAATAATTATCACGAAGTGATTGCAAAAAATAGCATAAAACGAATTCGAAAATATATCATTATTGTAAATAACAATACTCTAACCTGAAAATGATTGATGATTAGCTATTAATCAAGTAAAATAAACGCATAATATTAGTTGTTTCCAACACTAAAATCCTAACAAAAGCAAATGCATGATTCTTGTCCTCACCCCCCCCCCCTCTCTCTCACCCTCATAAGAAAACAAATCTTAAATATATTGTTAATCATCATTCATCATCCATATAATTTTTTTTTTTTAAAATGAAGTGCCACGTATTTGCATAAATTTAAATTATAATTTTAAAAAAACAAAAAGTTGAGGGAAAGAGAGAGGAACAAAGGATCTTAGCCTATTAGGAAGGGTCTAATGGCTATATATACCCCGTGTTAGCCACTAGCTTTCACAAACTGAGACACAGAAAATGGGTTCTTCTTTGTGGATTGTGTGTCTGATTTTGGCATCACTGGCCTCTGCTGCATTCTGCGCCAACCCAAGGAGGCCAGTGGATGTACAATTCGCCCGAAACTACGTTCCCACATGGGCATTTGATCACATCAAATACTTCAATGGTGGTTCTGAGATTCAGCTTCATCTTGACAAGTACACTGGTCAGTATATTACACACCCATGACCCAACATGTCCTTTCCTGTGTGAATCATGTTATCCTAAAACAAACTTAAGGTTATGTTGTTTAAAAAAAAAAAAAAAAAGTTAAGGTTCACTATCTATCCCTTTATTGCTTATGTGTGATACAATTTTGAACAGGTACTGGCTTCCAATCCAAGGGGTCATACTTGTTTGGTCACTTTAGCATGTACATAAAGATGGTTCCTGGTGATTCAGCTGGCACAGTCACTGCTTTCTATGTATGCTCCAAAAAGAAAAAAAGTTTCGATTTTTTTGAACCTGTATTGGAGATTCTTTAGTTTGTGTGTTGTATATGAATGTGACCTTTGTTATATGGTTGGAACTTTGCAGCTATCTTCCCAAAATGCAGAGCACGACGAGATAGACTTTGAGTTCTTGGGCAACAGAACCGGACAACCTTACATTTTGCAAACAAATGTTTTCACCGGAGGCAAAGGTGACAAAGAACAAAGAATCTACCTTTGGTTCGACCCTACATTGGCTTACCACAGATATTCTATTCTCTGGAACTTGTACCAGATCGTGTAAGCACTTCACTCAACTCTTCCATACCCTTCTCGGTTTTCACCGTATGATTGAAAACAAAACAAACAAAGCCACAAAGAAAACAATCCTTAACTTGAATTGAAGTAAGCTAATTTCTTAGATAAAGTTGGGTCCAAATTTAAGATTTTGTATTTCATCATAGTCTATTCTAGTAGTTGTGTAGTGTCAACTTCAAATCTTATATTAAAGATGTACAATCCTTCACTCCCCCTAAAAATATAGTAACAGTACAGATTTTAAGACCATTCCATTTTAGTTGAGTCTTGAGGTATAAAAGAAAAGACTTGAATTGCAACATGTGTCCATACAGGTTCTTCGTGGACGATGTCCCAATCAGGGTGTTCAAGAACAGCAAGGACTTGGGAGTGAAATTCCCATTTGACCAACCCATGAAGATCTACAACAGTTTGTGGAACGCTGACGACTGGGCCACAAGGGGTGGTTTGGAGAAAACAGATTGGTCCAAAGCCCCTTTCATTGCAGCCTACAAGGGGTTCCACATCGACGGGTGCGAGGCCTCGGTGAACGCCAAGTTCTGCGCCACTCAGGGCAAGCGATGGTGGGACCAGCCAGAGTTTCGTGACCTTGACGCTGCCCAATGGCGCAGACTTAGGTGGGTGCGCCAGAAATACACCATCTACAACTACTGCACTGATAGAAAACGTTACCCTCAACTTCCCCCAGAGTGCAAAAGAGACCGTGACATTTAAATTCTCATTTACTACTATTGTTGCCGTTACACTATTATTTATTTTCACCACCTAATTTTATCACATTCTCACTGCTATGTATGTACAATTTTATATGAATGAGTTGAGCCCCGGCCCTATTATTGATCATATTCGCACCATATACTAGGATTTGGCTCTGTTGTTAAAACCTTAGTTCAAATAAATGCCGTATATTTTCACTGCTACATTATTATTATTACTATTGTTGCTTTATTCTATTGATTGTGTGCTAATAATGTGGTTGCTGCAGAGCCAGTTGTAGTTTTGTAGAGATCTGTGTTCTTTGTGTTTTTTGGGTGAATCATAGATCTGCGTTCTGATCTGATCCTCTGGTCCCGGAAATGACAAAGTAGAAAGTGGTGGTTTTGAATATTGTTGCGGAAAAGACACTGGACCCCGTAAACGTGTTACCACTGGGTACTCCCCATGTGAACGGCATAAAGCGGTTGCAGTTGCAGTAAATAATAAATGATTTTAACTAAAGGCTCTTTAGGATGCTGCTTACTGTTACTATAATGGTTAACAAATATTGATTAATATTTTCTTTTTAAAATCATGTTAGAGAGAGAGATACACTAAAATCTGCGTATTACTCAAATTAACAAAAACAAATGTTTCAATGTTTTTCATTTTTACACATGAGGGGTGTTTTTCAGCAAAAAAATCGAGGATTAACAAATTGGGATGATGGATTTTATTTAAGGTATATGATTAATCCTACTTGTTTTGACCCAATTCAAAGGCTGTCTAGAGCATCATTATTATTCGATATTTAACGTGGTTTGCTTGCGCTTTGGCACGTGGGCTTGTGTATTTTAATGTGCATGATGACTGAGGCATTAGCTAGGACAAATAAAATTAAGATTTTAAATTGTGATTGCAGCTTTGGAAACTTTAAGTTTTTTTTTTAAAATAGGAAATATGATTGACAAAGATGGTCGGTATAGTGTAGTTGTAACTTCTATGTGCAGTGTGTTATGGGATAAACGATTTTATATATTCCATTTTTGAAAAACACTTGGAAATTTTTTCTGTAACCCATTTTTCTTTTCCTCGTAAAGGGTTCAAGTTTGACCTGTAGAGTGGTAGATAAGAACAGCGATGGTTAGAAACTTGGAATGGAAAACGATAGCATAAAATAACAGTGTTTACAATGTTTGGCATTGTTTCAACTTTCAACTTTCAAGCCGCGAGGAACGGTGTGAAGAGGTGAAAAGTGTCATTGTTATTACATCAAATAATTAAGGTTCTTTTCTTTTGTACCATGTTCTGAAGTGTGTAAACATGTAGGTTAATTCAAATAAAGAAAACAAAGCACGTGATTGCGGAGTTATCTTTGGAAGTTTGATTGGTGGACATACATGGCTGTGGACTAGGGAGGACTTGTCTGCCACCTTACAGCTATTTCATGGTCAAAAATCAAACGTGGTGGACCTTCGTTTCCCTCCACAATCTAGGCGTCCATGACTTTTTTGGCGTTTGGTATAAAGTTTGCAGTAAACAATGCAGAAAACAAACAAATTATGCAGCATGGCTTCAATTTACAATCTGATTCTAATGTCAAATTATTTATATTTGTCGGTGCGTTACTATGTTTAGACTTTTGAGCAAAGTTTGTTATATACAGGTTGCTGTACATGAATCTGTTTTTTTTTTTTTTTTTTTTTTTTTTTTTTTTTTTTTTTTTTTTTTTTTTTTTTTTAATTAATACTATTATCTAAGTAAAAAAAAAACAGTGATACATGTAAGTTTATTAAGTTTTAGAGTTTTTACATTGATAATAATTTATAAATACTAACTTTTTTTCTCTCTAAGAGTGGTTTAAATATGCTTTGAAACTTTGAATTAATTGTTTTTTATTTTTCCATTATTAGAATAGAAATTTGATACATAGCGAGATCACAACAACCTACAGACTATACTTGACTAGATTAAAGCTCGATTGAATTAAAATGTTGGATCCGTAATCTGTTTAAATTTAAATCTTTTTGTTAAAATTATGTAAACACGAGACATAATCATTGCATATGAATGAATTTGAAACTAAAACTTCTGAATATATAAGAACAAACAAGTTTTCCCCTTTTTTATACTTTTTTTTAATAAATTAAGTATTACCGGATAATTTCTCACCATATAACTTGACACAAGGGATTCATCAAATATTGGGTGAAAACTGAAAAGTGATTCAACGATCAGGAGAGGGGAATTGACGTTGTGTTTGGTTCTACTGAAATAGTAAAGAAATAGAGATGAGAGGATGAAAATAGAGATATGAAAATAAATGAGTGTTTGGTTAGTATGAAATTATCATAAGAGAAATTAAAAAATTGAGTTTCACGAGTATTTTATTTTTTTGCACTTTCGAGGAGAAACGCACAATAAATTTGTAATCCTTATTTATTACCCTTGTGATTGTCTTGTTCATGCACATTAGTAGGAATCGACTGAAACTATATTATATTTGAATACTTAAAAAAAAAAAAAAAAAGTCGCAACCACACATTTGTTTTTAATTGATATTTAATGGATTACAAGCAACTCAAATGGCCTTGGTGATCAATTGAATTTGTGTGTATATTTGAATATCCTAAAAATAAAAATTAAAAATTAAAAAAAACTACAAACATTTGCTTGTAATTGACTAAGATTGAGACTTAATTGATTACAAGCAATTAAAATGGCCAGGCACATTTAGGCATAATCGATTGAAATTGAGTTATATTCGAATATGTTAAATCTATTAGAATTAACTCTAATGAACAATAGTAATCTTAGTCACTCATGTATCATCGACATAAACTTAAAAGGTCCAAGACATTATTGGGATAGAACATTTGGGTACAAGCCTTACCAAGGCATTCGTCTGCAACAACCAATCTCCTTTAAAATCAAACACTACTTATAAAGAATCACATTTTTTTTATAAAAATATGTCACTACTTGGGACCCTAAAGCACTAGGCTTTGGAAGATTCAATCAACTAGTATCTCTTACTAAACAACTCAAGAAAAACATTTCATTTTATTATTCTCCTTCAAAAAATCACAAGGCTATTTTTTTTTAAAAAAAAAAACAACATAGATGTGAGGATTAGGCCTTCTCAACATCCTACTTACAACACTATGAATTAAGGACTAAGTCCCTTCATACACTTATCCTTAGCAACATACATAAAGCATACAATAATTAACTACAACCACTATTGGCTCATGTCAACTTCTAGGAATTCAACATTATACATATAGTATTACATATATAAGCAATATAATTAACATCATCATAAACAACATTCATCTTCATCATCATATCAACATCATAAACATTTTAATGTCATCACCTTTACATCATCATGAATACCAACTAGAATGATTATTGTTGTGTTGTATATGTTGATTGTTGCTTGATTTCATTCATATTTAACTATGTTGTTGCTTTGTGAAATGAAGAACATTGTTCTTGGTTTTTGGTTATTTTCATAAAAGGAGAAGGAAAATGATGATTAGGAATTTTTGTTGGTTGCATGTTGGAATTTTATGTGTTGTTTTATAAGTTTCATGTTGGATTGAAAGTGGATTTTATGTGGCTTGAGCGCAGATTATGATTCTATCGAGTTAGAAATCTCTTCATAATGTTGGGTGTAGCTTTATGTCATTATGTGTGATGCAAGTTACACACTCTCTATCTCACTATTATCAGGTGTAGATTGAAAATTATTTCTAGAAAAGTAAAATTATTTCTCTTTCTAAAAGTATATTATTTTCTGAAAGGAACTTTTTAAAAGCAAAAAAAAAAATGAAAAATATGTTTTGGAAATATATTTTAACTCTTGGAGTTTGGAGTGTAAAACATACTTTTGAAAAGTACTTTTTATAAGTAAAAAATATACATCTAAAGGTAAAGAAAAAATATACTTTTGAAAAGTACTTTCCAAAAATAGATTTTAACTCTTTAAGTTTGAGGGTGTAAAATATACTTTCAAGAAGCAAAAAAATTTATTTCTAAAAAATACTTTCCAGAAGCAAAGAAAAAAATATAGTTCCAAAATGTATCTTTTGCTTCAAAATGTACTTTCCCAAAAATGGATTTTGGATTCATTTGGACAAACAACATAATCAAGATCTTATGTATAATAAAAACTTATGTGACAATCACTTATACTATTTTAAAGTGTCTAGATGCATTATTATTTAATTACTTATAAGATGTTATCTCATTTTAAAAATTAAAATTAAATCTTGACAAAATAAAATAAAAATTTGAAAAGTATTAAATAATTTTAAAAATGATATTATATATTACAATAATATTAAAAAATATATATACTACTAAATATATATTTTTTTCCTAAAAAATACTTATATTATTTTCTTTCAAAAATATTTTTATAAAAAGTATTTAAAGAATAAACAAAAAGAAAAAGCATGAGAGATGTATTATTAGTTAATAGAGGCGTATATATAATAAAAGCCTAAACTCATATATGGATATTATAGATAAGAGAGACAGTGAGAAAATAATAAATATAGTAAATAATATGTGAAGAATGAAAAAAAATGGTAAAATGAAAGAAAAATAAGTGTACTTTAAACATATTTTATCTTTAAAAGAGATATTCTAATCATTTACATTTTTTTACTTTATTTTTTTTAGAAATCAATCTTTATATATTAAATATGAATAATTATATTGTGTAAGAGTATTTTTAAAAACATTTGTTAGAAATTCTTTGAATTTCTTATCTAACTCATTTTTAATCATAATTATTTATAAATTAAAATTTAATATTTTTTAAATAAATTAAAAAATATAAATCTAAAATATAATTTATATATTCAAACATAATATTTGTATACATATATGATTATTATAAGTTTTAGTTATATATAATAAATATTTAATATATGTATTATATATATATATTAAAATACTAGTTAATTCTTAAAATAGAAAAATATATAACTCCAAGCGTGTGGTTCAGCGGTAGAAGTTGATCCACGCTTAAGCAAGGTCAGGGGTTCAAATCCTGCCTTGTGTATGCAGTCGCGTTAAATCTTGAGACCAACTATTCCACTCCAACCTAGCTAGAGTAGATATTCCAGGGACGAACCAAAACAAAATAAAAAAATATATTGTGAAAAAGAAATATAATAGAATGCGGAAATAAAAAACAAGGTGTCAAATG